AAATTCATTCCAAACCAGCATACAAGGGGCGGAACCAGCAGAAACCGAGGAGGCCAGGAAAAGGGGGGGAGGAACCCCAACGGGAACAACAACAGCCTGAGGAAAACCGAGAAGAGAAGTCACGGGAACAACAACAGGCAGGAGAAAACTGAGAAGACAAAGGGGAAGGGAAGAGACAAGTCCACTCCACAATAATGAGCTAAATATAGAAGAATACTTTTTTGATTTTATGAGCTAGGAAGTGTATTTACTCCTCCAATTAATGAGCTAAACTTCAGCTCAAGCATTAATGAGCTAATACCAAGTAGAACCCAATTTTTAAACTCAACACCGAGCAGCCAAAGTCCACCTGTGAACAACCAAGGCCCCAAATCAAGAACAGCAAGAAGCCTAAGGACAAGGTGTAGCACCCCACAGTACTCCTAAATAGCACGGGGAGTATTACTAACACAATTATAACAATTTCATCATAAATATAAATATAAACATGTCCTCAATTGATCATTGAACATTTGATATATCTTTATAAACCTCCAATAATTCTCATTCATCTTGTCTAACGGAAGCAACTATAAATTTAAAGTTCAACATAAGATACTTACAGAGCCACTACTAAAAACCCAAAGTAATGCATGTCTACTTTGCTTTCATACCTTAAAAAAAAAACTCACTAACAAAGGTAACTTTAAGATGAAAAGAAGAAACACTTGTATAAATTAGCTTGCATCAATCTTCTCCTTTCCCTTTCCTGTAACAACAGCCAGAAGAAAGTTCTGGTGAGCTATGAGGCTCAGCAAATTATGTAATCTATATAACATTTATAATAAAATGAAAGAAGTAAATGAGACTTTGAAATCATTAATCATTAAACTTACATCTACAAGTACAGGTCTCATAAATCTTTATTAGCATTAATTTTTACTTTCTTAAAGTTTTTATTGAATACCAAATTCCATTAGTAAAAGACTTGGCTATCCTTTCATAACCTTATTCAATGGAGCTCAGGTAAACCTGGCATTATCGCCATTGAATCACATAGAGGTCCCTTTTGCCTCTTTGGGTCCCTTTTGCCCCACCTGCTATGCAGGTTTCATTCTTTGGGGTCCCTTTTGCCCCACTTACAATGCAGTGTGCATGAGGACCCTATTGCCTCATTTGCAATTGTAAGTTATACATCATTTCATAGTTTAGCCAATCTTTACTTTAATTTGATATTCAAAACTTCATACATTCATCATTCACATTAATTGCAATGGTTATAATCTTTCCATCATTCATACATCTTTGTGCAGTAATAATGTGATAGTCACTAAATTGAAAATAAAACTTCTTTGCATATAGTTATCAATTGAGAAAAGATTTAAATAAGCACACTTAGACATCTATCACATTTCTCTTATTCTCATGTATAAACAGTTGTGAATATTCCAACAACAAACAAATTCTCATAGTGCATTTCATTGATAAATAACATTTCAAGACATAAGAAAGATTCCAAATATTCATGATCAATTACATAACTTACCTTCTTGACAGTTTGCTTCCATCACACCTTCCCTTCTTAATCTTCTTCTATTATAAGTCCACTCAAAACTTTTCCTCTGCATAAATTCAGGAACTTCCTACATACAATTTTTCTAATCATTGGTATACTTCTACACAAATCATTGTAATTATGAATATATATATACAAAATACTCACCTTCTCTTGTTCTTTCACTTCTATATTATTCCTTCACCCAATCTCTTCTCTAACTTTGTTGTCACTGATTACACCATAATACTTATATAATTTTCAATTTCATCACATAGATTTATATTAAAATTTTCCAAACCCTCATACAGTTTCTAAATACTTACCTTGAATTCTAATGTCAATGCTTGGTACCTTCTTCACCAAAAATCCTTGTACTGCTCTAAACCGGTTCCTCCACTCCAAGCATTGATTGAAATTTCCAAGCAATCCTACCTTGCCAACGTTTGCTACAGGACTTCGGTGACTCTCCACAGATCCGCTGAACTCTGCAACCCGGGATACTTTCTACTGCATTGAAGGTTTTCCCAGGCTTTCTTATGGTTTTGCTGCAAAACATATGCTATAACCGCAACAAGCAATAGCACAGGAACACTGTGTCGCTATCCTTCTTCAGAAATTCCTGCACCCACTTAATCCACCCCTTTTCAGCAATGATGCGACAGTCTTATCCAAAAATAAACTCCACGGTTATGAGGGAAAGTGGGGCCCATCTCCCAACCGTTCAATTGCCAAAAGCCTCATATGAAACATCTGTTTAGATATATCTGATTTAATTAAATTACTCTCTCTTTTTTTTATCTTAACTCAATAATAATAAAAAAAATTCTTTAATATATATAAATATATAAATGTTATTTCTAATATAACTTAATTGATTTTTAAAATAAACGTACCTGGAGCTTTTTGGGTATTACACAAGGACCCAAATGCAAGCAAATCCAAGGCTAGCCATGTCCAAGATTTCCAACCTTGATCATTGGATTCTCTCCATCATTGGATAGCTTAAAAAAACATAAAACACAACTAATATTGTTTAAAATACATTAAAACAAAATAGACTAAAAACATGAATGCATCAGATGGTTAGCTAAGTTATCATGACTTGGCCCGGATACTCGAATTAATGAGGCAAGAATGGATAGTTTGACGGTTAATTCACTTCTTTCAAATACATAACAGTTAACAACTAACATCCCTCATAAAACTAAAGAACCACTAACAAAATTACAAATTTGAACATGTACCTAAATCAGATTTTACATGTTTTCATTCGATCACCTTTTTATGTAAATGTATTCCTCTCTTTCAGTTATTTTTATTTATCAGAAGATTTATTTGAAAATTTAGCCTTACAGTTCGAGTTTATATAGTAGACTCGGTGAATAATAATAGTTTATAGTATAGCAGTTAAACATATATATAAATAATAATGCCTTTTGCCCTTCTCGTACAGTTAGTATATTCATTACATTTCGTATACTATAATATATTCATAACATTTCATATGCTGTAGATTTTCATTATGTCTTTCAAATAATTGATTTCTTTTTCTTTTTTCATTTCATTTCTCTTTGTTAGTTAGTACAAGATCACCATTTAAATTTTTTTACCCATAAAGTACAATCATTTCCATTTCCATTTCTATTTAACTTGCATGAGTACGATACGTCTCCGGCAAGTATTATATGGGTGTGAACTCTTATATTTGCGTGCATGTACATTTTTCCTCCTATAAAGTACAATCATAAACTTAAAGAATTTTATAGCTTCTGAATCAATGATCTAAGAAATAGAAATGGGCATCTTTGAGAGTTTAAAAGTATGAGAAAATGAGGTAATATCTGAGAATGCTAAAATTCGATTACCTGTTTTAGATTTTTCACGTTTCCCTCGCAATCTTTTTGAGCCTTTCTATTTCTTATAAATGGCTCATTTTTCTTCATTCTTTTAAGAACATGTGACGAATTCTATTTGCGACCATTTTCGATAGCTATTTCTATTTAGTTGGTATGTTGAATGTATATTTTGCAAATCCCCTATTGGACTTAAGATTACTTTTGTCAATTTTAAGTGAACCTAAGACTAAGTGTACGTGAATATCATTTGTTGCTATCCTTGGAGAGAGAAACTCTGGTTCTTTTCACAAAAAAATGTACCAAGGCAGCATTGAAGGCTGCAACAATTAGAATGATTTGAGGTAACACAATGGTAATGGTTGCAACGATGAGAAATGTTTGTAGCAATGTCGTGATGAAGGTCCCAATTAAAGAAAAGTAGGGAAAAAGAAGAGACTATAACAATGAAGGTCACAGAATTGTGTCAAGGCAACGATGAGGATACAATGATGTAAATACAGAAGAGAAAATCCCTAGTGCTGTGATTTCAATATGTGTGTAGTTATCTAATACTTGAGAACTTATTGAAAACATACAAAATGAGGGGGTACTAATTACTGAAAAATTATAATTGTCCCACAGATTGGTGAGATGGTATCAGAGATTTAATGGATCCATGAGGTAGCAATGCGAAGAAGGAAATTAGTCGTGGTGGATGGTGGAATCCATGGAGCTAGCTTGGAATGATAGAATATCAAAGGGTCCTAGGCGGAGAACTAGTAGGCAAGAGTCTTTGTTGAGCTAATCAGTGATGTTTAGGGGTGTAACCGAGTCGAGTTGAGTCGAGTATTTGCCTTATCAAGCCTGGCTCGTTTAATCCTTAATGAGCTCGAGCTCGAGTTCGAGCTCAATTAGTGGGCTCGAGATCGAATCGTTTAGAAAATATCAAGCTTCGAGCTCGACTCGAAAGCTCGAGCTGGTTTGATATTATAAAAAAATAAGCTATAAAAAATTATAAAAAATAATATTATATATGTATATATATACATACATACATATGTATATATATACATACATACATATGTATATATATACATACATACATATGTATATATCGAGTAGCTTGATAAGCTTTCGAGTCGAGTCGGGTTGAGCTCGAAACTCGATAAGCTCGGCTCGCGAGCTCGTTAACGAGTCGAGTTCTAGCCGGCTCGGCTCACTTACACCCCTAGTGGTGTTATTCGAAGGGTTATTTTACAGTTTCCTATTAGAGATGCATTTTTTCCTAAAAAAATTGATTTGACACTGAAAAACATATTTTCAAATCATTGTGGCTAACTGTATAACCTCCTTTGTGAATCATAATCTTGCATCACCTAAAATGTATGTGGAGGGTTTGTGCAGTGGATTGGAGATAGAAAATTAAAGATCTTGAACAATGAAAATAAATTTATAATTGTATGCTGAGCAAAATGTATGATCATTTATTGAAGAAAACTTGCCTCGGTTATTATAGTATATTTTTATCCTTATGGATGTCTGCTTGCTTATCTGTTGCTGAAAACGTAGATGTCTTTATTTTCCGCATGCTTCTTAATTTTGGATGCTTCTGTGTTTTTAACATCCAGTGTTGGCAAGCAGCATCTATGTTAAGTCACAGCTTGGATCACGCTGGATCTCTTTCAATTGCAAAAAAATGTTTGAAATTTGGATGTACTGAACAGGAGGCTTATTCTGTCTATTCAAAGTTGCATATACTGAAGGAAAAGTTTCCATGCCAATCAGTTGCTTTACAGAATTTGAGTGTTCAAAACATTCTGAATAGTGAATCATCTCCTTCAAAAACAGTGGATGATGTGAGTAAAACACTAGATGGGAGGGCTAAGGAAATAGCAGCAACTGGCAATTTAAGTGTAAGGGTGAACGATGGGTTTCCTGTTGATTACGAGACCTCTGAACAGCTAATATCACAGCCAGGTCTTTATCCCATTGGTGAAAACCCTGGAAAGTTTCAGCTGGACAGTGGATCATTAAAAGATGATCTTTTTAAAAACCAAATTGATGGCATCGAGGAGGTGTTTTTGAGGAGATCAGAAGTTCTTGTTCAAAAGCAGCAAGCTGAAGTTTCAATTTTCAAAAAACAGATGTCCAAGGATAGGCTGAAGTTGGTAAAGACGCATGATCTTGATTTGGAACTTATTCGCTGCATACATATTGATACAACAGTCAGTAAAGGCAAAATAAATGTCTTAAACCAGGATTTCTCTGATAAGTTGGGCAGGTTTGATCAGCACCGTAAACAACAAAAGCAAAAACTTATATCTATGCAGCTTGATATCAGAAATAAAGAACAAGAGCTGCAATATAGTTGGTTGGAGAAGGCTAAAAGTGGTAAGTTGGATGAATCGCTGGATGATATTCCTCAGCTTGAAAGTGGATTTATGCTAGAAAAATTTATGGAAGCAAGTGAATTTGGTTGTAATTTCAATAATTCTGCATGCCCTTCCAGTGAGAAAAACATCCGAACTGATGGATGTCTTGAAGTTCCATCAAATATCTTGAACGAACGGGAGGAAAATGTTAGACAAGGAGATGATGCTTTGACTTCTGCCACATCTGTTACAGGGGATAATTTTGAACAAAATGTGCAAAACAGAATATCAGTGGAACTGAGCGTTCCTCCAATGTTGTCAGGTGTGCTACCCATGAATTCTGGGATTTCAGTTTCACAATCTGAAGTTTTCAACTCATCTAGCATCACTCCTGCTGACTTAATTAGTGTCTCAGTAACAGCAGCAGATGGTAGGGATGATTCAAATGGTCTACATTTGGTGCCTGACCCAGTGCTAAATCAGGGTGCACTCCTTTCCCCGGTGAAAGGGTTGACAAGTTCTGTGTCTTCAAGTACTTCGTCTTCAATTCCGGTATGGTTTTTAGCATTCTATGGAGGCTTCCGCAGCAATTCTTAGTTTTCATAATTTGAGAGATTTCATATCTAATTGCAAAAAATGCTTTAAATCGTTATTAATGTTGATCATTGTAATTTTTTCTTTTTACAATGCAAGTTAATTAAGTTTCTGTTCAGTTGAATTTATTTTGCTATTACACTAGTGTTTTCAACAAACTTCTTCCTTTGTAAAAAGTTTGTTGCTTTGTTCACTTTTGATGAAAAGTTCGTGCTATATTTTTATTGTTTTATGGTTTAGCATTTGAAACTTTTTTGGTTTATTGCATGATTTCTCTCTTAATAGTTAGAAGTTAAGGCGTAGTTAAGTTTTGCAAATTCTAATTAAGTTTACAAAAGTTCATCACAAAATTCAGACTGGAAGGGTGTGTTGATACAGTAATCAATGATAGGATTCCAGCATTTCTGGGTAAGGAAGAAGGTAAAGGTCAGGAAATGAAAACATAAAAGTCATTTAAGGAAAGTCTACTTGCTTTTCTTTTAGTTATAGCCTGAAGAGTCTGGATGACTTTCATTCATATATGACAATCCATTTTAGACGAAAGATTCTTTAGCCTAGCTCTTTGTTCTGTGGAATATATATTGTCATGGTGTGGAACTTGCTCCAAAAGGAAAACCAGAAATGACTGCTATACTCCATGAATTTTGCAGGGCGATCTAGCTAACCCCACAGCTTTTTAGCATCACTTTTTTTATAGATAGGAGCCCCCTATTTTTGTGTTCCTTTTCATTTTCTTGTTCTTTTGAATGTTGGGTTCAATTAATTGTTATATCTTATCTCTATTTTTTATCGATAGTGTTCGAATTTTAAAACAACTTAACGAATTGTGGAAAGGCTTATTGAATAAATCTATGGTTAGATAAGCCATCCTATTATTGTGTTTTTTAAGTGTTGTAAAAAAATTACTTAGGTCATGGTTGGCCAGTCTTTGATGTTAGATGCAAATTTATCCTTGTCAAAAAATTTCAATGTGTGTAAAGTATTGATTTTTATATTTGCGATGATGGTTTCTATATTTACTTTTTGTTATCAATGAGATCTAGCTCAAGCGAGAATATGTTTGATTATTACAGTAGTGGTCATAAGATCGAGCTCAGCCTGTCACCTTCTTTAAATTTAAATATTGACTGACTCTTTTTATATTGTGTGCCCTTTTTTTTTTGTAATTGACCTTTAGAAGACTTGTGCTCTATATTCAATGAATAAAATTTTTGGATTAGATTTTTATATCTTAAAAAAATTATTTGTGAATATGATCCGGCAGACTTGGAACAACAAGTTTCTCTTAAAGTTTTCTTTTCATGAAATCACTGTACCAATATACGGAAATTTTTCATAGGCTGAAACTTTGTGCAGCCAAGAATGTTTGAAGAAAATATTTACTTGGCCAATTTCAGCTTAAGAATGTTTGAAGAAAATATTTACTTGGCCAAGTATATGACCCCATTGATATTTAGGGAAGAGGGGGAAAGGAATAACATTTGCGTCCATATTTAGGGGAGGTGGGAAAGAGTAAATAGTGGTGTCCATATTCTTACTTCTCCTTATTTGAATATTTCGTTATCCATATCTTATCGGAAAGTTTATAATAAAGTGAATTTTAATTCTAATTTCATGCTATTAGGAGTTATGCACCAATGAGCGTACAATGCCTGCTGAAGTTTTTACTTCAGGCAATTGCCAAAACATGGATTCTTTTCATTATTTCACTGTTCCAGCATCAGATTTTGTTGTTACCCTATCACCTCATATTGAGAGGATGAGTTCTAATGATGTGGCACCATCGAACTATACCAGTTGTCCATTACCTAAAGAGGTTCCTGAACAAGCAAGACTTCCACCAACAGGATACGAAGAATCAACTCCTCAGCCGCATCATTCCGTTGAACTTTCTGAAGTACCTGCACAACAGGAAATCATAGCTGTAGTTGCTGAAAGCGAGCCATCTAACCGCCAGATTCCAGAGAATGCCATGAATCCATTGAGGCCCCAGGAATTTCTTTCATCAGAAGGAATGCCCTCTGAGCATTTCGGAAGCTCTGTCATCCGATATGGTGTGGCTTGTGATTGGTTGCATTCTTCTACCCAACAGGGTGAAGTTCCGATTCAAGATGTAATTGAGGCTGCAGTTTTTGAAAGTCAGCCATCTATTCAACAGATCTCTGAGAATAACCTTCATCCTATGAGACTACAGGAAGATCTTCCATTAGAAATAATGCATTCGGAGCATCAGGAAAACATTGTCATTCAACCAGATGAACCAAACCAATTAATCCATAACTTTTCATCAATAGAATGGGTTCCGCTTCAGGCAATTTCTACAAATCCAATACATAATGAAATAGTCAGAATGCGAAAACAGCAGTATTTATGTATTGAGAAACATGAAAATAAGGTACTCTTAGTTCCTTTCATTGAAAGCTCATTCATCATTGTCATCATAAATATCAGTTATCAATATCAATATAAAGACAACTATTTGGTATTATCTTTCTTTTTCTTTTTTCATCTTTCATTTATGGTGCAATTAAACTCTTCATTCAGCTAGTTATTTGTTATGCTTCTTGCTTCTGGTAACACTGCATCTTTATTGGCAGAAACTATTACTTCGGTCAGAATGTGAACAAGAAATAGAGAAGGTAAAAAGGAAATATGATATTCTACTGCAGGATGCTGAGAGGGAGCACCTTCCTGAAAAAAAGATGTTTCTGGAATTATTTCAAAAGCTTGTTTGGCATAACGTTTTTGCAGAGGAAGTTAGGTCTAAATTCTATGTTCATGACGAAGGTTCATCGACGCCTTTCCAAGGTCTGAAACTTGAGCCACTACGAAATTTTTTTTTTTTTGCAGTTATAGTTCTTGCTTTCTTTTCTCCATTATATTCGTTTTCAACATGCGCTGTCTCTGAATGCTGTTTTCTGGATTTTCTCCACATCTTTTGGTTTCTGCCAATAAGTAATTATAATATAGAGAGCAATGAAAGCCATTTTATTTGTCGCAAATGAATGATAGGTTTAAGTTGATGAATGCTGACATGAATATTTTAGGCATTTCATTTTAATATTTTTGTAGTATTTGTGAAATATTAACGGTGCTTTTAATAAGAAATATATAAATTCATGGAAGAATAAGTCTAATAATCCACTGATTGATGAGGAGATAGAATAATAATAATGATAAAATGATGAGTACAAGTTCAAAATAATCCTCTGACTATTAATAAATGTGTAATTTAGTCTCAGATTTTCATAATGACCCAATAGCTCCCTGACTATTAGAAAATTTCTCAATTTAATCCCTATGTTAAATTTGAACAAAAGAAACTGCAAGGGTTCATTTTGCTTGGGTATTTCAGTAAAAATATTTTTTTACCCAACTCTGTTGGAGAATTTTTGTATCCTCAAACGGATTGCATATTTTATAATCGAGTACGGCATAAGAACTTGACATATTACCCCGAAAGATAAAAATATCATTTCCTTATGAACTCAATAATAAAATTTACAATTTTAACAGAGATTCCCCCACTCGATGTTTGGTCGAATGGGGTTTATTTATTTCTGAGGTACAGACATCCCATAGGGGCTTGCCCCTATGGTTAATTACATCCCAAGCTTTAGTGCTTGAGAAAATTTTTGATTAAACTAGTGGTTTTCTTGTTTTCTTTTGGAAGTCATTTTATACATTGGCTAAAGTTTGCTTTTTGTTTTAAAATTCATGAAAGCCTTGCTTAAAGGTTTTGGCTCTTTAGAATTTCAAGGAAGAGGTTGATCAACTTAGAATCAAATTTTTGGAGTGAAGTCCAAGGAAAGGTGAGGTAGGAGCACTTGATTCTGAGGGACACTCAGAGATGTTCAAACTATCCTATATTGGGCTTTACATTTTAGCAATCTAATTTTGATTTAAGTTGATATTTTTTTATTAGAAGATTGGGGCTTATATCCCAACAACACTTGTTGGAGGAATTGCTCGAAATATGAGGGCTTATAGGGTGATTTGAAATCAACCCATGCCTCGGACCCTAAGACTAAGGTGAGGACTACCGATAGGTAGTGCCTCGAACCTAAATCTAACGAGTGCAAAAAGGGCTTACAAACTACACCTCACAAGAGACATAGCCTGCCCGACTTCTGGATTTATTGTTCCGCCTGGAAGGGACTACCAGCTAACCCTCCTAATCGCTTTTAAAACCATGTCATCCGGTCTCAATGCAAATGTAGAGTGGCTAGGTTGTTTTTTTTATTTAGAAGGTAGGGCTTACAACTTGGCTTTGAGGCCAAGATGCCTAATTATGTTTGGTATGTAAATGCTGACTCACAAAAAGAAAGTTTTTTTTTTTTGTTATCTAATCCTTAAGTGGAGGCATTCTACATGTGACACACTTTGGCTATGCATGATTGTTTTAAATTTTTGGAAAACTTTGCCCTTTGAAAGAGAGCCATGCCAATTTTCTTTTATTAGAAAATCATGGAGCCTAATTTCATTTTTTAGGTTGCTTACATTTTAAGGGGTAGAAAACTTATTTTTTTTATCCTAAGAGCCTAACGTAGTAGAGTCCAGGCCACGCCCATAGAAATAAAAGAAGAAACCTAGGAAAGACATGTTGTTCTATTGCACACTCAGTAAACAAACAACACATGCTTTTATATATAAATAGAGTGCAATAAAAGTAGATAGAGTCCAAATTATTACAAGTATTTTGACAGCTGAGTTGTCTGCCATTATACAACCCAGTTAAATTAATTACAGACTCTACTTATGGGGTCTTCAAGCTTTACAAAAGTTCTTTGGGCTTCATCTCCCAAAATGTATATCTTTTCCATTTCGCTCTCTTCTTTTGCTCCAAACCCCCACAAGTTCACATCCTACTTCTAATCAAATACATGATATAAAAATAGAAAAGATTCAAACCTGCAAGACAGAGTTAAGCAGTAATTTATATGATAATCATATTATATTCCCAAAATTGGCCTAGCACTTAGAGTGCTAAATGCTAGGCCCCTGCTTCTACCCTATTGGTCATGCCTCTTGGGGGGTTTTAAGCAGCGCCTGCAAGTATACAACATTATGATAATCATGATTTAATTTACCCCCTATTGGACATGACCACCTGCACAGAAAAGCATGTATGTTTCTATACTAACCACTTAAGGGCAAGTGCCCACACGCAGACAATCCAAGGGCAATCTCTCCACAACATCAATCACATGCGCACACAAAGAAAAAAGCCTAATCCTAGCATGCCTAAGGGGTTGTGCACCTAAGTGTGTGTGGCTTGTGTGGTATGTCACACTAAGGATTGTCCTAGAGTTTGGGTCTAAGGAAGAAGTGCCTAACATGTGACTTTTGGGCCACTTGTTGAGGGAAATTCTCCTTAGATTTTGGAGCTAAGAAAAAGAGGTAAGAATCTAACATTTAGCTTTTGAGCTAAATGTTGGAGAGCTCTCTAGCTTTTGGAGCTAAAGAAAGGAGAAGTCTCCTACAACTTTGGAGTTGGGGAGAATTGAGGGAAAATGCAACTTTTGGGTTGCAAATTCACAAAGGTCTTTGGACATTTTGATGTCCAAAAGAGGGTTGCACCCTTCCGACTTCAGTTTGGAAGGGCAAAGAGAAATATGACTTGAATCCTAAGCTTGGGGTGAAGTTAATTGTTGTTTTTGTTTCAACAAGTAAGATAAATATAATAAGATTAAACAATCCAACAAGGATTGAATACAAGGAAGTTCCATACAACTTTTGAGTTGCAGGAAGATTGAATTTCTCTACAATTTTGAGTTTGTAGAGAGGAGAGGATGCCTCCTTGAATTTTTGTTTCCAAGGAGGTGGAGTTTAATTTCCTTAATTTGGGTTAAGAGAAATGAAGAGAATTTTGGGGGTTTCCTACAATCTAGATTTGTAGGAAAAGAAGTAGTACAATGTGCAATCTAGGGATTGTAAATTGGAGGAATTCCTTTGGACATGTGGTGTCCAAAGAAAAGAAATGTTTCATCCCTCCAATTTTGGGTTGGAGGAGAAAAGGAGATGGGATGTGACTTTGAAGTTACTACCCCAAGAGGATTCTTTGAACATTTGGTATCCAAAGAAGAGGAATTCATTCCTCCAATTTAGGTTGGAGGGATAGAGAAGAATGAGATGCAAATTGGAAATTGCAAACTCTTGAAAATCCTTTGAACATTTAGTTATTCAAAGAATGGAATACACTCTTCTAATTTTGAGTTAGAAGAATAAGGGTAAGAAGATGAATTTGGATGCTTTCCTACAATCTTTGACTTGTAGGAAAGATGAAAGGAAATGCAAGTTGAAGGTTGCAAAGTGGAAGACTTTCTTTGAACATTTGGCTTTCAAAGAAGGTGACATCCACTCACTCAATTTGAGTCAATGGAATAAGAAGAATTCCTACAACTTTTGAATTGTAGAAATAAGAGAAGGAACATGCAACTTGTGGGTTGCAAATCTATAAATGTTCCTTAAACTTTTGGTGTTTAAAGGAACAAATTCATTTGCCTAGCAAATTAGGCAAATGAAGGGGAATTGAGAGATTTCCTACAATTTAGAATTGTAGGAAAAGAAGTAGCCCAAAGTGCAACTTAGAGGTTGCAAATTTGAGTAATTTCTTTGAATGCTTGGGGTCCAAAGAGGAGACTCATCCTCCCAATTTGGGTTTGGGAGCATGAATATGGATTTAAATACTCTCCTACAATCGTGACTTGTAGGAAAGAGGGAGGAAGATGCAATTTATGGGTTGCAAGTTCAAGAACATTCTTTGAATATTTGATGTTCAAAGAGACATGTACATTCTCATAATTTTAAATTTTAGGAGAATAAGAGGGTTTTCTTACAACTTTTGGGTTGTAGAAAGAGGGAAATCACGTGCAACTTGGAGGTTGCAAATTAGAGAAATTTTCTTGAGCATTTGGTGTTCAAAGAAAATGACACACATTCACTTGATTTAGGCTAAGTGAATGGAGAGGTCTTCTACACTTTTTGTTTGGTAGAAGGAGGAAATAATGTGTAACTTGAGGTTCCACATTCATGGAATTCATTAGGCTTTTAGATGCCCAAAGAAAAGGATTCACTCACCTAATCATGGGTTAGGAGAATGAGGATTAGATATTTTCCTACAATTTTGAGTCGTAGGAGAAAGGGGATTAGAATTTTAATCCTAAGGCCGAGAAATCATTCATTGGTTTGGTGTTCCAACAAATGGGAGAAACTTAGAGTTTACTTCTATGCTCAAGAGTTTAAGGCATGATGTATTTTAGGATCTAGAGAAATCCATAACACAACACATTATGAAAGTGGGTGATAGCTCCTAAGATAGACTAGGAGACATGCAATGAGGTATTTGAAGCTTGGGGTGCTCCAAATAACATCGCATAAGAGATGTAATTTGTAGTTTTTGGACTACAAATTAAGGGGGTCATCTACCTATATAGGTTAGGCAAATGAAATAGGCTAGATTTAGAATCCTAAGCCTAAAAAAAGAATTCTTTCATTGATCTTAATCTCAAAATGAAAGATAAGGAGAACTTAGATTTTTGGCTCTAAGCTACAAGATTTTCATATAATGATAGGTTGGAATTTTAGAGAATTCCAAATCATCATGTATGAAGGGAGAAACGTTTATTTGCTAACTTTGTGTTGTTAGCAAATGGAAATGGGGGGCTTAGGATTTGTTTTCCTAAAATCTTGATTCATGCACTATAATAATTGGGACTTAGAGAACGTCCCAACTATTCAGTGTGAGGGACATGTACATAAGGAAGAGAACTTCCCACTCTCCTACAAATGTTTTGGATTTGCTTGAA